ACCCTAAGGTGGCGGGAGCGTGGGGAGCGGCCCCTTCCAGCCTCTGGCGGGGCCACACACGCCGCAGGTTCGCGTTCATTTTCCCCGCAGGTAGGACCCCAGGCACGTGCTCTGGCCAGGGCGTCTCTGGGGTGGCGGGTACGACCTCTTCCTTTTGAGGGGTTGGGGCCTTGCTGCTAGACCGGATCGTGACGCCTGAGGAGGGCCTGCGGAGAGGCAGTTGGTGTGCAAAAGCGACATGTGAATAAAACCCCCAGGTCCTGCCCTCATGTCCCGGTTCTGAGGTCAGAGGCCAACAGAGGCTATCAATCCAACACCTGCACCATGATAAAAAAATTTCTTTAAAAAAAAAAAAAGCCATCCAAATACAGCAAAGATATAAGCAGCAGCATGGAGTCCCCCCCGCCACCAATTTTAATTCTAAATGTTGTGTATGTTTATGTGTGTGTGTGTCTCCACATGTGTGGCTTTCCTTCCTTGAGCTCAAATATATATTTTGAATCACTAATATAGTAATCAGGCCTCTTGCAGCCTATCTCCTCCCGCCCCCCCACCCCACCCCATCAGCAGCAGCTCTGCTGTTTCCCATTGGATTAAATAGAATCTTCTTAGTCATTAACATATTATTTTGTTCAAGCACTGCTGTACAATTTGATTCTCCACATTCAAAATATTTTCAGATCATAGCAACGGAAGGTTCACATTTCTCTCATTTTACAGCAAAGCATCTTCGAGCTGGAAAGAGCTTTAGAAACTAGTCCAACCCCCTCATTTTACAATGGAGGAAATTGAGGCCTAGAAACATGTGGTTTGCCCAGGTCTCCGTGTAAAAAGACACGGCCCTCGGGGGTTCTCTGTGTCTCAGAGATCTTCGCCCTACATCACAGCCACCTTTGCCCTTTCTATTTCTCTTGTGAAATGACAGAAGTGGGGACCTGATTTCAACCCTGGGGAATTTGAAGAGGTGGCCTATTATTTCTGGACCTTCCTTTGATGGTCTGAAAAATGAGGGTTACACTTGCGAATATCTGAAAATTTTGTGACAGTAGTTCTGGCATCCTGTGTCAGCCCAAAGATCAGGGTGAGCAGCAAGGCCCCCATCGCCTCCTCTGTGTCTTATGCTACTCTCAGGCATCAGACTGCTCCCGGTAATACTCTACTCTTAAATATAGACAGATTTCATCTTTAGAACAGACAATATTTAATATGTTTCTTAGTGACTGGAGGCCCTACTAGAGGCCAGATTCTGTGCCCTGGGGAGCAAGCATTTACTCAAGGCCTACTATGTGCCTGGTACACAGTATGTGCTCGGTACAGATTTCTTTAAAAAAGAATGACATTGGGATATAAAGTACAGCATAGGGAATATAGTCAATAATATTGTAATAACTAAGGGTGGCGTCAGATGCATACTTCACATATCGGGGTGATCGCTTTGTAAGGTATCTGAATGTCTAATCACTATGTCGTACACCTGAAATTAATATAATATTGTATGTCAACTGTAATTTAAAAATAAATTTAAAAAAAGAGAATGACTTAGGGCCAAGAGCAAAGTATGTGCAGACAGTTGTGGGGACGTGGAAGATGTAATTAACCTGCCCAATGGGATGTGGGTAAGAAGAGCTTCACCCAGCAGGAAGGGATTTTGAGTAGAGCTTAAAAGGATGAGAAGAATTAGAGGGGGAGAGGGAGCGAAGATATTCCAGGCAAAGGGAGTTAAGATTAAGTATGTCAGAGCTTCATACTGGCATTGGGCACACGCTGGTTCAATTTAAGATACAGTCATATGCCACATACGATGTTTTGGTCAACGATGGATGCCAGTAGTCCCGTAAGATTATAATGGAGCAGAAAATTCCTATAACCTAGTGTCGCGGCCATTGTCAGTTCGTAGTGTAGTGCCTTACGGTGTAACCAAACTCACTGTGCTGCCAGTTGTGTAAAAGTATAGCACATACAATTATGTAAAGTGCATAATATTGATAATGAAAATAAATGACTATTTACTGGTTTATAATGCATATTTACTATACTATAATTTTTATCGTTATTTTAGAGTGTACTCTTTCTATTTATAAAAAAATGTTTGCTGTAAAACAGTACGCTGGATTATACCGACAGCGCCTCATATCTTGTGTTTACTGTGTCTCTTGATTGCATCATTTTCTCTTGTGTTTGATTTAACTTCATGTTCTTTTGTACAGTCACAGGCTGTACAGGCTTGTAGCCTAGGAGTAATAGGCTGTCTCATACAGCCTAGGTGTGTAGTAGGCTGTCTCATCCGGGTTTATGTCAAGTGCACTCAATAATGTCCACGCAACAACGAAATCGCCTAAAGACGCATTTCTCAGAATGTATCCCCATCGTCAAGTGGCACATGACTGTATTTAACCCTCAGACCCTTAGTGTCCACATCTGTAAAAAGGGATAATTCTGACCTTCTGTGACCTCCCAGATTATTGTAGGGATTAAACGAGCTCATGTATTTGCTTTAATTAGCATTTATAGCTGCCTGGTAGAAAGTGGTTTACAGCAGTGCTTAGTAATCGCCTGGAGGGAATCTTGTTAAAATGCAGATTCTTGATTCAGTATGTCTGAGGTGAGGCCTAAGATTCTGCTTTTCTAGCAAGCTCCCAGGGAGTGCTGCTAGTGCTGGTTTATAGATTGCACTTTGCATAGCAAGGACTTCAGAGGCCAGTAAATAGCAGTGTGAACTGTCATGTCAGAGAGTCCTGGAATGGAGTCCCACGTTCCTGAGATAAGCTGTGTGTCCCTGGGACAGTTACTTCCTCTTTTCTGAAAGTTACTTCTCGTCACCAATGAAATATCAATTAGTCCCTCACATAGGGCTGTGTGAGAAAGGAAACAAGTTAATGGATATACATCACGTAACAGAGGGTCTGGCAGCCAGGAAAGGGAGGGAAGATGAGACTGGAAAGAGAGGGACATTGGGGCCAAATCGTGGGGACCTTGGCTTTAGATTTTATTCTGTAGCTAGAGGGGAGCCACTGAAGGTTATTAAAAGACTGATAAGGTCATAAAAAATAGCAATTACTATGTGTCAGGCACTGTGCTAAATATTTTATGTATCCTTCAAATGAATTCATGTAGTCTTATTAGAAAAATTATTATCTCCATTTTACAGGTGAGAAACCTGGAGCACAGAGAGGTTAAGTATCTCACTGTAGGTCACCCAGCTAGTAAGTAGAAGACCCAGAATTCAAACCCAGACCATCTGACTCCAGAGCCTGCCTACCCGCTCACCTTGTTCCATGGCCTCAGTTGAGAATGCTAGAAAGGGACATTAGTGAGAGACAGTAGTAATTTATTCATTCAACAAACATTTGCTGAATGCTTAGTGTTGTGCTATGGGTTAGAAACCATTCATTTACCGAATCCTTACGGAGCCTTACTAAGCACAAGGGCATGTTCTAGGTGCTGGAGGTTCAGCTCTGATCAAAACCAAGTCCTTGCCCATGTGGAGCTCACATTGGCGTGGACCGATTAAGACATGGTTTTTGCCCTCAAGGAGCACAAATGTTATGTAGCACGATTTGGGGTTGGACAGAAGGTGAGAATTGGAATAGAATACTTCAGTAACAATTCACATTGGACAAGACCTTTCCTAGATCTAACCGATATGAAACATACTATGGTCTTTTGGTAATATTCCCCTTACATACCAATGACTTATTTATTCAACCAACATTTTTTAGTGGTTAATGTGTACTAGATAACACACTTACAGCTGAGAATAAAAAAAGAGGAATCAGACATGATAGCCAGCTGCCTTGGTGGCTCCCTTAGTTTAGCTGGGAGTCAGATACCCTGTCTTTACAAGATAGGGTGATAAGTGACACAATGGCCTTCACAGAGAAGTTTCAGGCTATGGCGGTATTTTAATGTACCATTATCTAATTTGACCTGCCCCAATCTTGGTAAAGCAGACTGTGAAAGGGATTACTGTCCGTTGTTACAGATGAATAAACTGAGGCTCAGGGAGGTGAGATGGTATGTTCAAGGTTATCAGCTGGCAAGTGGAAATGCTGGGACACGTCCACGCAGCCTGGTTCCCAGGCCTTCCACCCCACCCTGATCCTTAAAAAGCCTTATCAGCCGAGAATCGGATTCCTTTTAGGCATCTGCCCTATTGTGCCTAGGGACACTCCCTGCATTGATGACACCTTAGTAAAAGCCTCTGGCTCTTTATTGGTCTCTACTGTCTTGGGTCTGGAGTTTCCCTGAGCTAGTGGGGCCGGTCATAGTTGCATTTCCAGCTTCAGAGGCCACCTTGCCCATGGTGACTGTGCCTTCCTGAGAAATCGTGCCTCCTCCAGCTCCTTCCTCCGTCCTTGGCAATCGCGTCCCCACTTCCGCCTGGGGATCTGGCTCTCATTCACCTTCCTCTGTGCAGTAAAGATGTGACAGCTTGTAGTTAACAGTAACCGTAGCTGCGTTCATCCCTGCGCACGTCTGTTTTCCTAGGCCCTGCCATGTAATCCGAGTCCCAGAATAGTCCGCCTCATGATACGTGCTTAGGTAAGTTTACCTGGGCTGACTTTTTTCCTCCGTAGCAATTTGCGTCATGAGTGCTGTTATAAAACTTTGGGGGCTCTTTCACGCCTCCGTAAAATTCGTGCCTGCTGCCCTCAAATCCTCCCGAACAGGATTCGAGAATGAGAGAGGGTGGTTATGGCGGGCACCGTGGGCAAGGAGGGGTGAAGTCCAAGGACTGGACTAATTGGAACACCTTTCACTTGTGACCTGCTCTTTGGGCCTGGAGGAAGGGATATACTGAGGCCTCTCCCCGGCAGGGCATGACTCACCTAAGGCTTTCCTCTTGTCATTCATGAGGGATTTACTGAGCACCTATTATGTACTAGGCAAGTTCCCACCCTCCCAGACCTTCCAGACTCGGGAACTTTGTTATATCTGCAACTCTGGAAACATAGAGACTCTTTTCCCCACCCACTTGGTAACCACCCCCGCTGCCCATACACTCTGATTCCCCAGTTTTTCTGTACCCGCCTGTCGCTCCTTCTCAGTCTCCTTTGTCTGTCCCTTAAACATCAGTGTTCTATTCCTCGGGGAAGCAGCACAGAACCTGGGAGTTCCTGGAGCGATGAGCAACCTTCACCCCCATATGGCAGAGGCTGCTGACGAAGCACCTTCCCCACCCAGTTGCTGGCAGTGCCGGGAAATGGGGTGTGTCTAAAACATTTTTAGAGACATTTTAAAACAGCTCTGACCCCAACCAAGGGACTTGAGCTGGAATTATTTATTTACTTGGTGCCTGCTCATCCCTGTCTTTGGGGACCAGAACCTAAATGTTACAGGGCACAGGCCATGAGCACACACCCTCCTCTAGGGCAAGGCCAGAAGAGTGCATGTCAGAAGACGGTTTAGCAGAGGAACAGTTCTAGGCTGAGAGTGGAACCAAGGAAGACTTTGTGAAGGAGGTGACATTTTCCCTTGCCTTGCATACTGCCTAGGATGTGGACAGAGGTCAATAGAAAGGGAGGGGCATTCCAGGTGGAGGGCCCCGCATGAGCATAGTCATCTATGAGGGACAATGCAGGACAAAGTTCAGAGCAGAGAGTAGCCCAGGGGTCCTGCCTCCACCTCATACCCCACCTGCAGGAGGAGGCTTGAGCTCCCAGCCAAGGATGGCAGGGAAAGGTTTTCTAGTAAAGGAAGTGCCCGTTGGGGTGCTGTGTAAAGTGCACAGAGCCTGGAGGCAGCAGACTGGCCAGAGGAAGGAATGGTGGCTCCAGATGCTGCTGACACCTCTGCCTGGCCTGCCATTTTCCCTTCAAGAACCACTCCTTTGTTCTCTGTATCTATGAGTTTGTTTCTGTTTTGTTTGTTCAGTTTATTTTTAGATTCCACGTAGAAATGAAATCATACAGTATTTGTCTTTCTCTGACTTATTTCGCTTAGCATAATATCCTCTAGGTCCACCTATGTTGTTGTAAATGGCAAGGTTTCATTCATTTTCATGGCTGGGTAATATTCCATTGTATATAGGTACTACAGCTTCTTTATTCATTCCTCTATCAAAGCACACCTAGGTTGCTTCCATATCTTGGCTACTGTAAATAATGCTGCAACTTACGGTTGCCAGATGGGAGCGGTTGGGGAAATGGGTGAAAAAGGCGAAAGGGATTAAGAAGTACAAATTGCCAGTTATAAAAATCATCACAGATATGTCAAGTACAGCATAGAGAATATAGTCAAAAATATTGCAATAACTATGGATGATGTCAGATGAGTATTAGACTTAGCGGGGCGATTACTTCATAAGGTATATAAATGTCTAATCACTATGTTGTACACCTGAAACTAATATAATATTATATGTCAATTGTAATTGAAAAATAAATTTTAAAAAGGGAAATCATTCCTTTATTGGGCCAACACCCTTAGCACTGTTCCTTGCTGGCCACCACTACAGGGCAGCCATCACCTGGAAGAGGGTGGCTGAGGCCCAGGGAGAGGACCTCTCCCAAAGTCGATTTACTGTATCAGCAAGTTATCACTCTGATAGGTGCAGAGAGACTCACCCTGAGTGGGGCTGAATATAGGACAAGCAAGTTTCAAAGGAGAGGAGACATTTGCCGCAACATGTCCCTGGGGAGGGGTGGGGTCAAGTGGAGAAGGCTGTTTCATCTGGAAGGTGTTGTGGGGCTGCCTACCATCTGCTGGGCCCTTTCCAAGCAGTTCCTGTCATTTTGTTTACTTCTCATGACAATTAGTGCCGTTGTCTCTGGTTCTCTAGAGCACTCAGAGAGGTCAAGTGTAACGTGTCCAGGATCACAGAGCAGTGGCAGAATCTAGGCTGGTCTGCCTGACTCAAAGCTTGTGCCTTCTCCACTGGGGTGCACAGCTCAAAGACGGGGCTCCTCTAAGGGCTGGGAGGTTCTTGAGTGTCCCAGATCACAGCTAGCAAATGAGAGGCTGCTCGCCCTGACACCCCAGAGCTTCTCATTTCCTATGTACAAGGCATAAATTCCTCCTTTGGCCCCCCGATCAGGGGGAAACTTGACTGTTGAGTTGGGGTGGAGAATGTTTTCTGATGATTCCATCATGAGTCATGCTCGGACATAACCCTCTTCGCCATGTGTATATGGCGGTAGGAAGGACCTGGAGTGGCAAAGACTTGGAACTGGACCATGGTGGCAGGGTCCAAAGAGGCGAGGGAAAGACAGACCAGCTACTTGGGGTGGGAGGGTATTCAGGCTCTCTTCTGGGGTCACAGGGGCCACGTGTGACACTGGGCATCAGGCGGTAGCGGTGGTGCTGCATAGCCGGCAGCGTCAGGGGCTCCAGCATGAGGACAGTGGAGTGTTGAGGAGTGCAGCACAGGTCGGAGAGGGAGAGCAGCCTATAGTATTTGGAGATTTCATGGGCAGATGGGTAGGATGACAGTCCGTGTTAGAAAACTTTAGCAGGAGGAACCTGGACTCTGGGAAAGGGGTTGGCACGGACCAGACAGGGGAGGGGAGGAACTGGGTACTGCAGAAGTCCCAGCATCTGGGTTGAGCAGGGCTCAACTTGTCAGAACCAGGAAGAGAGTGGAGGCGGGTCTCAAAACAAAGGCAGGATTAAGTAGCAGACCCCAGAGGCTTGTGCATAGCCACGCACTGTAGGAGTCAAGGTTGGCCCCCGTGACCTAGGAAGGGCTGGGCCTGTGACATGGCTCCAGCAGTGGCAGAAGGACCATTAGAACCCAGGAACCAGCAGACCCTGTCTGACTGGACATCACATTTTAGCAATCTGGGGACCTTAAGGTGACACACCCTTAAGGGGACCTTCTTAGGAAGTCTAGATTCAGAAAAGGACCTAGGGAACCCCAGGGACTCATGAATATGGATTTCAGAAGCTAAATTTCTGCCCAAAGAAGGGAGACTCTCCATAACTTTTATTTGTCTTAATGGAAACACAGGTTTCCATTAAAATAGTTTCTCTATTTTATTTTAAAGACAAATAACACAGTCCATTCCTTTTCTGCACCCACCTTGAGTCATTCTTACCTAAGAGGAGTCTGACTATCAGTGTTTACTGAATTTATGCTGGCTGCATACATCAGTGGTTTAGAGCAAAAAGAGACCTATCTTCTCCTTCATTTTACTGATGAGGAAACTGAAGCCCAGGTGGGTAAAGAGGCTTCCTTCCTTAAGGCCCAGTAGCCCAGACAGAGTGAGGACAGAGTCCAGGCTGCAGAACCCCTGGCCAGAGCTCCCTTTTCCCTGCACCCCCCACCTCATCTGGACTTGCCATGGTAACCAAGCCTCCTTCAGCGTGGGAAGCAGAGGCTGTCTAGCAGTTGCCTAGCAACTCCCCATAACCAGGTCAGAGCAGGGAGAGGGAGGCACCACGCGATGCCCACCCTGGGGAATTCGGACCTGTCAAAATGGAATTGTCTACATCAGAATGTGTCCATGGATGACCCTGGGTAGAGCCATACCTAGAAGCACCTGCGTGGGAGAGTCTCACACCAGGATGAGTGAATTGCTGGGACTATGGCACGGATCCAGCTAGCTGGGGCCTCTGTCCCCACAGCAGACACAGGGCCTCATTATGTTTAGTTCTGGTTTCTGTGAATAGCATGAAACCTGCCCCATTGACGAGCTGGTTTGATCTGTATGTAGGAATCCACAGAGGAATTGTGGATGGAAGGGTGTGTGTGTGTGTGTGTGTGTGTGTGTGTGTGTGTGTGTGTCTATGTATGCATTTCACCTTAGAAGGGGAAAGCGACCATCTCACACAATCATCTTGTTTCTTAATTATCTCAAGAAATGTTTATGCAATGATCTGGTCATTAAATTTATAAATCTTCTAATATTGGGTCTTGACAGCCATTGCCCACTGCCACCCTACCCCCACCACGGCTTTCTTGTGGGCAGAGCTCTGCCTGGGTTCCCAGGTTCGGCCTCCTGTGGGGTCCACCCAATTGGTCTAAGCCAATCAGAGTGGTCTCATTCTCTTGGAAATGGTTGGTTCAGGAATGGCATGCGATCTACTCGTTGCCAATGGGATCGGAAGGAATGGCTGAGGAAGGACTCCTGAGAAAGGTTTTCCTCACTAATTAAAATTGGGAGGGAATGTGTCTCTTCTTCACTGGACATCATCAGTCTGCATGTGATGTCTGGAACTGCAATTAGCCACTGAGACACCACTGACGTTCAGACGGCATTGCTGAGCCATTGAATTCAGCAATGAGTTATTGCCCTCCTTCTGGATGTCTTTTACGGAATAGCATAAACCCTTTGTTGTTTAGGATACTTCCGGTCAGGGTTTCACTTCCCTGTAGGCAAAAGCCTCCTACTGATACTCTTGCCCACACTCACTGTCTAGGCGTCTAATGAGGGTCCCACTCAGACTAATGCAAAGTGAGTTTGCATTAGTCTGAGTGGGGCCCTCATTAGATGCCTAGACAAGGCTGGGTCTTAGCTCACTCACTTTGCATTAGTCTGAGTGGGGCCCTCATTAGACGCCTAGACAAGGCTGGGTATTAAAGGCAAAGGAGTGGGATATAAACCTAAAAGCAACGAATGAACAGGACAAACAAGCAGAGACTCACGGACATGGACAATGGACTAGTGGTTACCAGAAGGGAGAGGGGAGAGGGCAGGGGGAAATCAAAAAAAATAAAATGTTAAAAAAATTATGTATATATAGTATGAAAAAAAAAGAAAAAAATAAACTGGCATTTAAACTAACTAACTAACTAACTAACTAACTAACTAACTAACTAACTAACTAACTAAATGATAAAGGCAAAGAACCTAAAGGAGACAAATGTCCCTCTTCCTGAGTAAGTTCAAGATATGACTCCTTAGTCCTTCATC